ATCTCCTATGTGATGTCTACTCATCTTGTCCCTGACGGACAAAAGAACTATGTGGCTTTCATTCTTCTCGAATGAATAAGCGTTCTTGAACCCATCTTGATGGGCCTTGCAGTCGAATTGTCACAGCCTCCCTAACAAAATACAACAAACGTTCATGTGTCATGTCGCACCACACCTGCTTTTGTAGTTTATTTTCAATAAAAAAATGCAACCGATCATTGTTGATTCATGTGTATCTCATTTTCCCTCTTCAACCAAGTAAGAGAGTAAGATTGAGGATGCTTCTATGTGACCAATTTTGGTTTCTTCACCATCATAGTAGATACTAAATTCTCGCAGCTCCCACCATCAAAAATCTGGCTGCAAAACTTTCCTTTTACTGTATACTTGGTGCGGTAAATACTGTCTTAGTCATAAATGATCCTTCCCTGATTCAGTTTGTAGGACCCTTCTTACTACTAGCATTTCTCCCTCATCTCCTTGGAATTGAAGTTCATCATTTTGATCCTCCTCTGCTTCTACCTCACACGCTTCCTCGACAACACTCTACTTGGTAGCATGGATAAGGTTTGGATTTGTGGGAGGGGAAGAGGGCATTTGAGGATAAGAATGACAAATTTTGCGATGGAGATGTATAGGAAGGCTAGAAACCCAAGGATATGACTAGGATCAGGCTAGCTCTAATACTAGGAAGGCTAGAAACCCCAGGATATGATATCGGAGTTAATCCAAAACCATAACAGTATGATAATGTTATTGTTGAAATTCAAAAAATATTACAAATAAAGGAGCTCGAAAATATAAAAACAATAACCATAACACAAAAGACACCCTAGGGCAAAGATCAAAGGTGTTGGTTTGCGTGTCGAGATAGTGGAAATGGAGAGTTGTAGGTGGTAGAGAGGTTTAGCAGGGCGAGGGGAAGGTGATTTAGCAGCGGCGAGGGGAAAGTTATTTGGCGGTTGGACAGCAAGCGGGGAGTATGTGGATGGTGCGGCAGCAAACAGTAGCTAGGTTGGTAGGGCTAGCAGCAAGTAGCGGATTGTGGGAGGGTGCTGCAGCGAGCAGCGGGTTGCTAAAGGGTTCGACAACAAGCAGAGGACGCGAGAAACAAGGAAAAACAAAGGTATAACCACCATCTCGGAGTACGAAAAATCCATAGCATCATTTGTCCTCAAACAACGTAAGCAAGTGAAAGACGTCGATGACAAAAAATCCTAAAGCAAAAACTAACCTAAAACACAAAAAATAATGTAGAAATCCTATTATGGTAGCTAAGTGTGGATCCCTCTCAGTTAGGCGGCAATTTACCATGAAGGAAATCCCAGGGATGAATCAATTCACGGAAAGTTGCATTCGGTTCGACAGTTGGAGGCTATCGCGTCCTGCATCAATAACCAAGTTAAAAGTTCACCTAATTAACCTGGTTAATCACCTAATTGAGGAAAAAGTTAGGCTTATCTTAACCAAACTTAAGAAAGGATACAAAATTGTATTTAGAAGGAAAGAAGAAGTTTAAACTAGCATAAGTAGATGAATATTCTTGAACTAAATAGCCCTAAGATCCGCCATGGTTACTGAAGCATAGTTATTTAGACGAAAGTTGATCCCTACACAAGTGAAACTATGGTTCTAACCACAAGGTCATTGGTGTCAAATAACCAGGTAGGGATGAGCTTTGATCTAGCCAAAAGCATAGTTATCAATGTGTAAGGTATGGCTTGATATCACTACAATCTAGACACAATCAAACTTGTTAGAGAGAAGGTTACTATCCTCTCAAAGCATAATTAACTATGTGGTGGGCATGAGTCTCCCAAAATCACCTCAGAACCACACACCGGGTGCCATTTTTTATTCATTCAGTGTAAGCCGATGTGGCTTTTTCATCGCTCCATTATCCTAGGCTATAGCAAAATCATCTCAAATTTTTTAGAGATTGTAAAGCACTCACTGTCAAAATATTATCAACACACAACTAACTTACTAACGAAACAAAATGGTATGAAGATGGGCTAAAACTCATTCCTAACACAAAAATCTCAAAATGAAAACAACCAAAAGTAAAGAATGAGAACATCACCCTACTATGTGGAGTGGAGACAAACTTTTAGGCAAGTATAAACCTCTCTTATGGCACATCCAAATAAGAGCAAAGTTAACTAAAGGTTTAGAACATCTCCATGTAGACTGAACTAACTAAACTAACAAAACATCTGTAACTTGTCCTTAAAAATGAACAAAAGCTTCAGAAACTTGAATATAAGGGTTCGAACACTCAATCCCAGCAACTCTAAAGCCACATAAGCAATGCTCATTAGATCTACTCTACACTCAATTTCATGACTCATCTATTCAAGCCCACTCCAAATCAACACAGCTCAATCAAGTCAAATCAGATTAACTTTTTTAGCATTGAAAAGCTCTGAAACTTTGAGATTCTCTCAACTATGACAGTCAAATCAAGTCAATAGATAATTAAGGCTTAAAAATCAATAAACCCCTTTCAAACAACATGCAATACATTTCCTTTACCTGAACTGATAACCCATGATCAAATCAACCAAAAGTTCTTCAAATTTATTATTGGATTGTCTAGCACATTAAGCTCTGCAACTCAAAACCTAGCTAAAAAGTCCCAGATTCATGGCCAAATCTTGCAAAATATTTTACATGCCCTAACTTTGGAACTTCACCATAAATTTTTAAAGCTCAAAAAGTGTTAAATTTGGTGAATATCCTATTCTCAATGGCTTTACCCATCATTAATATTTTTTTCTAATTTCAAATTTTTCCAAAAGTCTAAAAAAACAAAATGGCCTCTATAATTGCAGAAATTCCAAAAACTTTGAAAATTCTAATAGTACAGCAATTTCATCAAATGGGAATAATTCCAAGCATCCAAATATAATTTTAGAATCCAAAATCTTTACTCACTAGGCCATTTTAACAGAAAATTTTAAAATTGTAGTTAATAGTCTCTCTTCAACTATCCTAATGATAAATAGTTCAAACCCAAATTGCAACTTATCAAAATCTAAACTTTTCTAAAATCACAAAATTACCCTTTCATTTATTTTTCCAATAAAATATAAATAAATAAGGTAAATTTCCGGAGTATGTAGCTTTGCGCCCCATTGGGCTTAAGTATCCAATTAACGTGGATCAGACAAATAATAACTACCCTCTACCAAACGGTATTTCTAGCCCTACTCTGGGATGAGGTAAGACCAACACATATACTCCAAAATGAGGCAAAAATAACTACTTATCCAAAGGGCGTAAAAACACCACTTTTGATCATATCCCTTCACCTACAATGACATTGACATGATTAAAAAGTCACAAAGACTTCTAATAAAATTTCTAACGCTTCTTGATTGTACTAGCCAACATGCCTAGAATCTGAGTGGACACAATTTGGTCACAGTTGATTAGACAGAGTAGACTAAATCAGTGGACTAATTAGACTACAAATTCTAACTTCAATCAATCAAATCATGCTTATTCCCATTGAACCCAGTCTAGGGCCTACGCAATTAGGCTCTTCTAAAAATATAGGACACAAAATTTCCTAATTGGCCCTTCAATTCAGAATTGACATATTTTTTGTCATCCCCAGTCGGTCTTACTATCAACTTGGACTCATGTTCAACCATAAAATTAGTCAATCATTCACCAATAGGTTGGTCTTTCAAACTGTGACAGATTACTATTTATTTTATTTCCATTAGCCAACCAAATCTACATATGATCTAACAATAATAAATCATCTGCCTGATTTACAATCCTACAACCATCTCTTGAAAATTCAAACCTACAAATTTACAAAATTAGCCCAATGAACCTCATAATCAAAACCTTGATAAAGTTATCCCTAGTGAATCAAGGGAATGTCATCCACCAAAAAAAAATTATGCCCTACTATATTCTATCCAAAAGGACAAAAGTCAATTCCCCCATATCTTACCCTACAGCTTCACCAAATAATGTTCTCAAGAACCTATAATCCACGAATTCCCAATTTCAATCCAAGGTCCAAATTTGATCAATCTCTTAACTCATCAAAAAGCTTTAAGCATAAAAAAAAGAGCAAAGTATAATTTAAGGTTTTCAACACCAGGGCAGACATTGAAACAATGGAAAAAAAAGCTCAAGGTTCAAAAGTCCAACCAGAGAATCAAGCATGACCATATAAATATTATATAATACAACCAAATTAGTTAAATAACATAATAATTCTAAAAATGATGATTACTATAGGATAATGTGTGTATTTATGCTATAGAGCACATATAAATGAAAAAAGTTCAAAATACATTACCATCCAACACTATCATGCCATAGCAGGTTATAGTCAAACTAGTTCAACTACTCCCAAATTACAGGTTGAGGGATTCAACAGCAGATTTTAATGGGTTAATCTTGATTTCCTAAAAGTTCGTTCTTTTTTAATCAGACAGAATCAGTTTGAGAAAAATTTCATGATCAGATCGGTTCATCCACCTGGTTTGATCCGTTTTTCACAACCATGCTGTAGTTTACAATGCTCCAGCCTCTTTAAAGAAGAATGAGCAGCTAAAATAATACTAATTAGAATCTAAAATCATCATTTTTAAACTCCCAACATCATAAAGCTCGTCCATCTCAAAAGAAAAAAACAATGTGTTTTTCCTAAAAAAAAACAGCACTGCTAGCCAAAAGCTAAACATACCAACTAATAATAGCATATATTGCATCACGCCAGCAGCAGCAAACCAAAATTGAGCAAATCATGATCACAATTCACAAGCCAACTCAATCAGCCACACAGCCTAACTCCAATAGCAACTTCTGATCAATATCGTCAAGTAGCCAAAAAAGAAAACCCTACCCAAATGAAATTCAACCAACCGCGCACCCCATCCTCTATTAAACTCCAAAACCATCAAAGGCAAATCAAATGTAAAGCGCTACATGCCAAATAAACAAAATTCATCAAATAAACATAGAAGACGCACTAGGTTACTGTTGCAACGATCGAGATCGAGGCACTTGACCGCGACGATCTCGTTGTCCGGTTTATAGATCGCTCGGTAGACTGTTGCGCTGGCCCCGTAACCCACTTCCTCCAGCAACTGATAATCCGTCGGTGAAACCGAGAACGTCTTCGGAAGCGAACCCGAATAGAACTTCTTCAACGAGACGCTTTTCATTTTTTTCATCTTCTCCGGCGATCAAAACCTTCCACCGATCGCTTCCGGTTGACTGCCGTCAGAAATGGAGCGTCATAAAGAATACACAGATAAAAGTAGTCAAGGGGAAGAATTGGGATGGTGAGGCCAGACAGCCGAGATTTGAGGGGATGACGGTGACAGAGAGGAGGCGGTGGTCAGATTCATGGAGCTGATGTGGCAGGATGGAGAGTCGCTAATGGTGAGCTCCGATGGGTCCGCACAGTCGTTGGTCGGCCCACGTTTTTATTTTTTTTATTGTTGATGAACATCTTGTGCTAGCCTCGCTGGGTACTCGAGTTTGCTTAGTTTGTTATATTAACGAGCCGAGCACGAATATTTTTTTGTGTTGGATATATGAATAAGTCGACCATGAATAAATATTTTTTTTCGTTCGTGTCCAACTCGTTTTGACTCGAAAAATTACTCATTAATTATATAGTAGTATTTTTAAAAATTATAATTTATCACAAGGCTACAAAGATTTATAATTAATAAAAATTATCAAATAAAAGTATAGAATAAAAATATATTAAATTATATTAAAATGTTGCTTTAATATAAATATTAAAATTTATATCTTGTCTCAACCCATAACATCCAACGGTTGCGTGATTAAGATTGCAAAAATAATTTTTTTGTTCGCGAACAGTTTGTATTTGATTTGCTAATCAAATGAGTCGAACACGAACACATTTTTTTTTATTTGAAATATAAGCGAGACGAACACCAACAATGATATTTTCGGATGAGCTTAACAAGAGTTGAGCCTAGCCAGCTCACGTTCGGCTAGTTTACAACTCCATTGGTGACCCAAACAAATAAAAAAATATTACATATGGTCATCTCCAATTGTTGGGTGATAACTCGGTATGGTCGGGTGACGTTTCAACGTGTGTCGTGCTTTCACCCTATACTCGGTATGGTCGGGTGACCCAAACTAATTCTTCTTTTCTAAACAATAATGATGTTTGCTAATTTTTTTTTTTAAATGTGTTCGTCAAATTGAAGGATACAAGCAATGATTTGAAATGATGAAAAATTATCAGTTTTTGTAAAAGAACTTTGGGAGAAGTTCGCCACCTGCTATTTCCCCAAATAAAAATTTTACCGCACAGAACTTCAACGCCCCCTCAAATGAAGCCAAAATATATATATATTTAATATAAAAAAAAGATAATAATATGACTATTTTTCATTTTAATCAAATATATTATATTTTTATCTTAAATTGATCGTGAACCTTATTTTATATAGTCATTTAAATACTTTATATTCCTTTTTAAACATTTAATATTCAATAAATATTTAGGATTATTATATATTTATCTTAAAATTTTGATCATCAATCTATTTTTATCAAAAATGTTTAGAAAAAAATTTTGTTAGAATATATTGATTAAAACTTAATTAGAATAATTTCAAAACTTAGGCCAAAATATCCTTGCCATCAATCTACCCAAAAATACATAAGAATGAAAAGTTGTTAAATGATCGAAGAGTTTTGCTTTTTTGGCATAAATTGTAAATTTATGCAAATGTAATTGATATGTCGTAAAAGATATATACAAATAATATGTTGTAATTTATCAGACATTTTACATAAATAAAAATATTATGGTTTTTGTGAAAACCCTCGATTTTAGTAGACTAAAAAGTTTTTCATCTAAGAACCTAATGACGTCCTATTTTCCTTAGTTATTGCATCATGCATGTGCTAGTACACTAGCAAACTTTGAAATTGCTAGTATAGACTAAGGGTCTATTTGGGACAGCTGCAGCTTATCCTGATAAACTGCGGATCAGTAGTTGATCCTGATAAGTTGGCTGGCTGTTTGGGACACCTGTTTGAAAACAGCTAATTTGTAATTGTTTTTGGATAAATAATCATTTCATCTCTGTTAAGTAATATTTTTTGCAACAGAACTGTCTTAACAATATATTTGATACTAGAGAAGCTGAAAATTCATATAGAACTGTTAAAAAAAAATAAGAAACAACCCTCACTTAATAGTGATACAATTTATAAAAAAACGAAAAAAATTATTATAATGACAATTAAAATTATGATAATACAAATTTTGACAAGATATTATTTCAAGTGCTTTAAAAAATCTGTTTATTTCTTTAAACGAAAAAGTTATTAGTGGATTTTATCTTTCGTTATAGTTTTACAGTGGATTTGGTCCGGCCCATAAACACAATACAAGACAACTGTAATTAGCCTTCTCCAAGATGAAACAAATATATAAAAACTAGAAAACTATCAAAAAACAAAACCTTCTACAAAGAGGATAGAAATCCTCTTCTTAGGATACCTTCCCAACCAATCGAGATGGTTAAGCTCAGTTATTATTTTTTAAAAATATTTAACATCTAAACTCCAAGCCGTATATCCCTGCACATTAAAAATCATTCTTTTACAAACACTTTGTTTATGTAATTTTATGAATACATCAAGCTGTAAATGTTGTTATCACAAACCAGAACTAGCATTCTTGTTTGTTTGGAGAGCCATGACAAAGAGTAAACTGGAACGATTTTAATTGCACAATTATCAGAAAGATTTATGAAATCATGGTGCTTTGTTTATGGATAATGATTTCTAGTCCACCAAAAGAATGAAATTCTTGCTCATTGCGCCGCTCTCCGGAAAAAAACCCTTCTTGACTCTCTAGGCCACATTGAGTTGAGATTCCACCAGAATAGCAATAAAAAACATCACAAATTAACTAAATTAAAAAAAGATAAAGCTTCAACAAGCATGATTTGGTAAAAAAAATGTCTTCCACGGCCAAACAAGCAAAAAAACTAAAATCCTGTATAAACTATCCAAATGGTATCTTTGGTGAAACCATACCTTATTAAATACCATAAGAAAATGAAAAATATTCACAGCGGTAGCACACAGCATAAACATCAAAACTCATTTCCACTTCAAGTATGTTACTTGGCTTGCAAATTCAGCTCTATGTGACGGTAATTAGAATATAAAAAATACCTCACGTTTGTCGGCATCAGCCCTTTCTATGGATCGAAGATTGATCGGCTTCTTCCCAGAACTAGCTTAAGGGGTGGCAGCCAGTGGCGAGGGAAAGTGAAATATTCATTCATAATCCGAGAAGAAGCGATTGCCAAAAGGAGGGAGAGAGAAACACAGGCGATCTCCAGAATCACCCATGTTGGAGGTTCGAAATGAACGAAGTGCTGACGATGCGAGAGATCTCTTCCTCATCATCGGCGACGGCTGGTCCATCCCCTCCATCACCTTCAACTTCGAACCTCCCATTGCTCGCCGCTTTCCTCGCATTTTTTGTTGCCCAATTCGGGGCAGTGGCGACGACGAGGGCAAGCGCTACGACGAGGGCAGAGAGGTAAGATTAAACTCCAAACGCGGGCAGCGGGTCCAACCTCGCAGCCGGCGTTTAATACAAATGAAATTGTGCGTTTCGCGATAAGTTGCGCGAAGGGCGAAACAAACGACCGAGGTGCATTTTAAAAACGCATAAGCTGACAATAAGTTGTGCCAAACGGCGGTAAAATGAACTGTATTTAAACTTAAAATACATGGGTTAGGCTAAACCCAACTCACCTGATATCATACATTATAATTATGGAGTTATCCATTTAGACCAACAAAGATCTTCTATTTCTTATTAACTTCCATAATTTTAATATTGTTGTTAGGGGTATAAAGGAGTCAAGCCGACTTATGAGTTGGCTCGACCTCAGCTTGTATTGCTCCTCTAAAAATAAAATTAGTTGATAACACAATAGTTGCTCCTCTATTTTTGAAACATTTAATTCATATCAACTAAAATTAATAAAAAAATAAAAGTTTTGACAATTTTAAAAAATTTGGTGATCGGCGATGTAGTCTAGCAGTGGCGGTTGCCAGTGGGGCGGAGGAAAATGCATGGGAGATGCACGACATGCATGGGTCAAAGCTGGTCAGCATTTTGCGAGTCAGTTGGCGGTATCCATGTCGCAGTTAAGTGGGATTATGGGGGTCATAGAGGGTCAACACGGGTTGCATGTCCTAGTAGATCTTGGGCGACACAAATCGCGTGTTGAGTGTCACGGGATGTGTGACATGAAGGGTCGGTCGAGTCAGGCCATGAAAGTTGTGCAAGATGGTCGAGTCGTGTTGTCGAGCGACGTAGGAATTGTGGGATTATGTGCAGAGTAGACCAGGTCAGTGATTCAAGTTGCAATCACAACGAATTGTTCATCTTAGGAAGGATCATGCAGGCAGCACGAATCAAGAGGTTGGTGCAGGTCAGGCAGTTCCAAAACCAAAATTTTTTTACTTTTCTAGTTTTTGATACCAAACCTAAATTTTTAGCCTAAAAATAAGCCTAAAATATAAGTGAAAAAACACACTTTTTTTGGGGGGTTTGAAGTGTCACTTGAATTTTCTTAGCCTAGTATTTTGCCTCTCTCTATGCTCGTGTTACGCAACCCCGTAGTCCCTTCGCCTATTAGTATGCCTCTTCTATTTCGACATTGCCCAACCAAAAAGTCCCTTAGTCTGATATTGTGTCTTTTTCTATGTTGTCATTGCACTTTTTGGCAGAAATTTTTTGTATTTTGAGATACAAATGTCTACAAAATCCTGACTCTCTATGAAATTATAGAAAATACCATAATTTAAAAGAGGTGATATTGATGCTTATAGATGATGAATTGATATTGTTTTAGAGAATTTTCTGTTTTTGAATGATTGGGTGGTAAAATTACCAGCTCTAACAGATTGAGTCTACTCTCCTCCTCCTAGATACTTGGCAATTGTTTTAGCAAATTTATGGGCCACCCTTTGATTTTCACTGGCGATCGAGTGGATTGATATTCTAAAATTTTTCAGAGTAAGGATTTCAAGGCTCTCTTCTTAGACAATGAAGATCATTCTCAGATTAGTCACCTTCTCTAGAAAATATGAGGCTACGTTGACTCCATAGATCTTAGCCAAGACTGACAGGGTCATTACCAATACACATGGACATATATTCTTCAGGATTAAGGTATGGGATCTTTGCCTGAAGAAGTCGATAAGACACTGGCCAACCAATTTTTTTCTTGTGAAGAATGACATGGCATTTGTCAAGAATTTAGGGAAACCGTAGCAATTGTCTATTTCTCTTCGTAGATGAGATACTATGGATGCTTGAATTTAAGCACCTAAAAGATTTGTAGTTTGTGGTATAGTGCAAAGACAACTTCGTGAATACAAAGTTTCTATTTAAGAAATA